ATCCTCGGCGGCATGACGCCCGCGCCGCCCGCCCCAGCCCATCCTCCCTGCGAAACCAAGCCCTCATATGCCTCCTTCGTATTATACCCCAACTTGCTACTAACTGCTGCTCCTCCTCCTCCCCCTTTTCCTCTCTCTGCGTGATCTAGACTCGCTCCTCCCCCCTGCTCCCTCTCCAACATACTCCTACCTGCTACGGATGGTGCCCACTCTCACCCCCTCCGACATCCTCATCAGGCCCTTTGTCAGACTATCGATTGGCAGGCCTCACAAACAGTCCATATTTTACACTATAGACGAATATCGATATCACGATCGATCTCGATATCGCCGTCCACCAATGTCCCCCACTACACTTGTATATACAGATGTATATATATATATGGATGCACGATCGAAGTATTTATATACAGATGACACAGTCAGTGTGTTGTGTCGACCTTGGCCTCGATGTATGTTGACCAATCGCACTATCAACCAATCACTTCAGCATCTCAACAACCATGGGGCAACCGTCGGGACAACCGTTGGGACACCCATCGGGACAACCATCGTGGCAACCGCGGGACAAACGCGGAACGACCGCTGGATTACAACGGAACATTCACGGGACAACCGCGGGCCCAATTCCACCAATCGGGGAGGAAAGAAACAGGTGTTCTGACTTTGCACTGAGAACGTCTGGGTCACTCCTCTCGCCCACGCAGGCAGCTTCGCCTCGCCCGCACCTGCGTCAGGAAGGCGACCACCAACCGGTTTCCCAGAGGGGGTGTCCGCTTCACTTCGATGTCGCACCCGAAACACCAATAGATCGATCGCACTACCTGTGTACTCGTCTTTGTCTTACTCTCTGTCGCTCCCACTATCTGTTTGCCGATCGATCGCACCATCTTTCCCACAATGGGGGCAACGATTCATTAACCGGTACGATCTCACGGTCAATAATTCAGATTACCATCGGGAAAACCATGGTGATAACGATGGTGACAACCAATGGAAGAAACAATTCAACAACCATCGGGACAACCATCGAAACAACCGTCTCCATCAATCGAACATTCTCCATGTGTCAATTATCGATCGATTTCAAAATTATCCAAATTACAACCGATTCTTCGATCGATCATAAAATCAATCCATCTATCGGTCTGTCTATGACGCCGGGAGCGCTGTGCTCTGCTCCAGGAAAGGCAAAGTTTTTTTCCCCCCAGTCCAGGGCTCGCATGATCTGTCGATGGATATCGTTACCAACGCATTGCAATATGCACCCATGTGTTATTGGCCTCACGATCAAGCTACCGATCTCAATGTCAATGCACCACTCAACCTGCCATCCCGTCGACCGTCGGGACAACCATCGGCACAACCCTCGGGACACCCATCATGACAACCAACGGGACAACCCATCGAGACAACCATTGAGACAACCATCGGGGCCACCATCGGGACAACCATCGGGGCAACCATCAGGACAACCCTGGACAACCGTCGGGACAACCGTCGCGACAACCATCGCGAAAACCACAAAACAACCGCGGGCCCAAAACCCCCAACCCGACGTGGAGAGAGTCTTTTGCTCCGGCCTCGCCCTCGCATCGGCGAGGTCACTCCTCCCGCCCGCGCACGCCGCTCCGCCTCGCCCGCGCGCGCGACACGAGCACGAAACTGCGGTCCCGCTGGGGGTCTTCATGACGCCCTGATCTCACCCCCGAACCTCCGATGTGCGCGCATATTGATGGGCCCATTTTCCACCACCACTACAATAGGTACAAAGAGGGAGGAGGAGGAGAAGGAGGAGGAGGAGGAGGAAGAGTTCAGTTCAGTTCTCAGGCCCTTCAAGACACTTTTCTGAAACACTGCAAACGCTGGCCCGGGCTGGGGCACGAAAGACGTTGCAACGCGCCCCCATTCGACGAATCACCATTCGGCGACCATGCTGCTACCCGCAACACCTGCAAACTGCTACACTATGCTGGCGCTGCCGCTACAATGCACAAGAAAAAAAGTCGCGGCGGCGGTGGGGCGGCGGCGGGCAGCAGGCTGATGGCCTGGCTCTGTAGGCCCAGCACGGGGTCGTGGCCGCAGGGACTCAGAATCACTTCTTGCCACCACGACGCTTGCCACCGCCCAACTGGCGGCTCATGTTGTTCGTCGGGCTCGGTTCATTTTCGCATCTCCTCCCATGCCTCTGATGGCTTCGCTGATCATCTGCTCGACGGGAATCCAGATCTCAGATCCCTGGAACTTGCAGCACCTCCGACAGGACAACGGTCTGGCTTGTCATCAGACTTTTGTAGTCGGTGTTGGCCGCGACCGCGTCCTTTAGCTTCTGCTCGAGCTCTGCCGCGACCTCGTCCTCGCACGGAAGCAGAATGTTGCCGTGCAGCGCGAACGTAATGCGAGACTTCTGTTCCGTGGTCGCTAGAATTGCGAAGAGGGCTTGGGATGCGGGGCCCGCGAGCTCCTGGCCTTTGTTCTGGTCGTTCTTGCGCTGCTTGAGATAATCCTGGAACGTGTTGTCTATGGCCTCGATCGCGGGGGACTTCCAGGCTCTGAGGGCGGTGCTGAAGGCGGCGTGCTCGAGGCTCCTGACCCTGGCCTCGGGCTGCAGCAGCGGGGCGTCCCTCGTCGGATTCTTGTCGTTCTTGCTGGGTGCCTCCCCGATCGACGAGACGTCGTCGATGAGATCCTCCTCCTCCCCCGTCTTGGGCTGCTTCTGCGCTGGCCCTGCTGATTCTTGCAATGAGCTCTTGGCGCGTGGTCGCACCAGCCCCGAGGCGGACCCTGCGGCCTCCATGGTGACGAACGTGGTAGGTGGGCTGCAAGTGATGGGTGAGATTCTCAAACAGATGCTTGAGAAAAGGCGTCTACGGGCTCACATTCTTCATCGCGTAGATTACATTCTCGCTGGCTGAATTCGAATATTGCTGCTTCATACATTCCACGACTGCGATGGCAATACTGTCTGGTCAGGCTCTTCTTTACGCGCTGCTTTGCAATCGTGCGATCGCGAAATATGCTCCCATATAAAGTACATGTGTAATAGGGGTACATATCCTAGCTGCATGCAGTTTGCCGTGAGTTCCTCCTTTCGTAGACGCGACGTGGGCGATGAACTGTTTTTTGTGGACCAGCTGGACAGCATTGCGCACCATCGCCCAGGTATCCTCGACAGACAAAGCCTCCTTCGACTCCGTCGGTCTGATGGACTGCGCCGGTGGCAGACGAGAGTAAAAAGTGCTCCCTCAACTCGCTGACATCGATCTTCTAAAGCTCCTGGCATACATCATGATCGACAAGCAAGTGATCGAGGCGGTCGTCCGCCTGAAGTAGCAGCGACTGACCAAGCTCTACGGTTCCGAAACAGTCGATATCTTGTTGTAGCTGGAGTGCCTACCGGTGCCCTTGAGGAGGCACACGCCAATTACTAGGACGCCCGAAATGGGCACGGAAAAAATGGGCACAATGCCCAACAACAAATGCCAAATCGACATCGGCCGCTGTTGGGCTGGCGGCCTTCTGTCTCGAATGGAGACAGGCCGCGGCGGCGCGGACGGCGAGTCCTGTTCAACAGGAACAGGAACTGCTGAGGGGCATTGTACCCATTCTTTCCGTACCCATTTCGGGCGTCCAGACATTGACCAGTACATCACCATCTACTGCCATAGAGCCTAGCACTGCTGCCCAAAACTGCCCCTGGAACTCTTTGGCCTTGCTGAGCTCCTGGTGCCACCTAAGCCTAGGTAGTCTAAACTCCAAAAAGAGGGGCCTCACTCACAACTTCTTGAGGACCTGATGAGAGGTGACAAACTTGGCATGCCCCGGCGCCCAAGAACACGTACCTTCCGAAATGGCCCTGCACCTGCGCGTGATAAATGTTTCCAGGGCTGTCATTAACCACGCTGATGAATTCTCCGCGCTTGTATCGTGGTTGCACGCACTCATGCATGGCCTCTCGATTTGGGCGTGCAGCTCGAGCTGGTAGCGGAGCAGCAGTAGCAATGGTGTGCGCGACGAGCACAACAGGCCGATGGTCTCGTGCAGAGACAATCTGATGTAGCTGCAAACTGCGTGCGCTGCGCGTGTGTGCTGCGCAGGACTCTACACAGCAGGAAGAAGAGCGTGAAGGACAACGACATGGTCAATCTGACTCTCTCCTCTCTCTCCGACGAAGGAAACGGGGTTGAGGAAGAACGTGTTGGCAGCACACAAACCCCACGCACTGAGCACTGGTCGCGCCGCTGCGGAGGCTGGCGAAATGCTGCCTATGCCATGCGGCCCAGCAGCGAAGCCATCATCATAATACACCAGGCCTCCATTCATATCCACATATAAGAACGGAATGGCTCGCCTACTGCCTAGAAGCTCGAGTGCTGGCTGAAACCAAGAGACGAAGGTGGTCACTGCCTTGTCGTAGGCTTGATGTTGGCCTGTCTTCGAGACGCGCGGCGGGAAATACAGACCGACGATGCCAAAAAACATGCTCTTGCTGCTGAATAAGAATACATCATGCTCTGCCCCACAACTTGTTTGCGCACTGGAAGAATATGTTTGACTGAATGGCGAATGCACCTGTTCTTTTTAACTAACATGTTGATGCCGCATGATTGGGTGACCAGGGGCCCTCTATTACATCCAAATCTGTACCATGTATACGCATCTACAGTAAGCTCGGGTTCGACAAGTTCGCCCGTGCTGCGCTGCTGGGTGCCCCCACGTACCATAATGTCGTGAGACGGATACTCTGCAACAGTATCTGCTACGCGCGAGACTCGAGAGGCTGCACATGAATTATATCCGACGAACCGCAGCAGCCCCGTGGAGGCGCTCATGACGCCATCGGGCACACCGCCGCCATGGCTGCCTGGCGAGAGAGGGCCCTTGCGAATCGTGAAAACCTCGGGGCGCGGGAGGTGGCTCTGAATCGTTCGCGGGGATTGGGCCACCTGGAGGAGGAGGAGGAGGAGAAGGAGGAGGAGGAGGAGGAGGAGGAGGACGAGGAGGAGGAGGAGGAGGAGGAGGACCTCATCCTCCTCTTTTCTCCCCCGTCCTACATATGGTAGAGGTGGTGGGAAAATTGCCCATCACATATAGCTTCACGACATGTGGATCAGCCGAAGTGGCCGAGATGCCGACATGCGAGACACTCGGGCCCGAGATGCGCTCCCCAGCGGGGCGGCGAAAATGCCGCGCGTCCTCTGCCCGGCGCCGTGCACCAGTGCGGGACCACAGCAGACAGCGAGCAAAGCAAGCGATTGCAAGGATCCATGCGCCCCGTTCCATGGGAGCCTGCGTGGCCCCCGGCGCTGTCCGATTTGGGCCTGATTTGGACCGGATTTGGAACAGATTTGGACCAGATTTGGAATGGATTCGCGGGGGCCAGAAGAACGAGGAGGAAGAGGGGGAACAGGAGGGGAGAGGAGGAGCAGGAGGATGGGCCAAATGCGATCCCTACGCGGTCCAAATGCAGAAAAAGCTGATTTCAGTGTCGCCCCCCAAGGCTCCCATGAACAGACATCGAGTCACTGCTGTCGTCCCTGCGCGCTCCTCGACGTACTCGAAATCCCTTCCTAATCGACCCCCCACAAAAAACGGAACCCCATTTTCAACAGCAGCCTGATTTTCCGGACCCCCCTGTCAATGGGGAACCTTCATATTCTGGACGCCCCTCGTCTTCGGTTTAAGAAGCCGCCCTAATAAACCGGACCCGCCCGTTTCCAACCTTAAAAAACCGAGCCTGGAGGTCGATTACTAGGAGATTTCGGGTAGGCGGCACGTAGCAAGCCAACTAGAGCGCATCGCTGCGGTGGTTGGGCCCTGGTCGGACTTTCAGCCGGCGGTACGCCTCCTTCACGGCGTTGGTCGCAAGACCTACGAACATACTCTCTAGCTTCACGCCGTCCTCGGGCGCAAGGAGGGCAACTATGAACGGCAGGACACTTGGTGGTCTCCAAACCAGGTGGTGAGACACCCGGTGGTGACCCCGATTCCCCCAAAAATAATTCTGGGTCACCACCGGGTTTGGGGACACGCGGTCGCCACGAGGTTTTGCGTTTCCTGGGCCAGCCAGCGCTCGAAAACCATTACCCAAATCGCCCAAAACTCACCACCGGGTGTTCTCACCACCACGTTTGGGGACCACCAAGGCACGATGGGTGAGCGAGGGGTCGGAGACCTGGGGCCGGGGGAAAGGGGCGGGACATGCAGTTTGTTTGGCGATGCTGGGAGGAGGCTGTCGACGCGGAGGCACAGCGGACGAGCACGACCCATGCCTCAGACCACGACTGCGCTCAACGCATGCTGCCCTGGAGAGGGCACTTCGATATTGTTCGTCCCTGCGCGCCCTCCCCGTGACGCGCTTCCGCCGCTCCTCGGCATTCCAATTGGCGGGCGTGGTGTCACAAGCCGGGATGCGCCCGACCTTTCTTCTTGGAGATGTTGCAACAGAAGCACTATGGGGGAACACGCACGCCCTCTTGACCAAGCGGGCCGTTTACAAATCCCTCTGCTTCCAGCCTTCTGTCTGTCTCCATCTCTCTGGCTGTCTGTCTGTGCAGCTATCTGTCTGTCTACGTGTGTGTGTGTGTGTGTGTGTGTGCGCGTGTTGTGTGTGTGTGTCTGACTTTCCGGCTTGTCTGCCTGGCTAGCTGTCTCTACCCACCTGTCTGTCTGTCAGACTGTCAGCCCATCTCTCGCTCTCTCTCAGTATGTTTCAGCCCCTATCTCCCTGTCTCTTCGCCCTGTCTCTTTGTCGCTTGCGTCGAGGCCCCCATGTGCCCTTTAGTCGCGGGACGGCTCCGCCCTGTGGTTTGCGCGCGCTATCGCCTTCTCTCCCTCTCATCTGCCGATGCGTGGCCCTCCACTTCTCACAATACCGACCCTACAAGTATAAACCGGGCGAAGAACCCAACCAAATGCAACAATAAATGCCATAATTGTTGGCACCGTCTTCCGTGGAACTCCCTCTGGAGCCGCGAAGCGCTCTACTGGGCGGGGGAACCGCACGTGAATTGCGCCACTGGGGGCCTTCGGTAGAGCTCCCTATGGGAACACGAAGCCCTGTACCGGGCGGGGGAATCGCATGCGGACTGCGCCACTGGGGCCTTCGGTGGAACCCCCATGAAAGGGGCCACGAAGCGCTGTACTGGGCGGGGAAAGGCATGCAAACTTGGGAGAACAAAAAGCCGACACCAGCACCAAGAAAATATTTGTTTCACGAAATGTCGAATTGCGTTTTGGACCAGCGCGAGCCCGCCCGGGCCTGAGGAATCGCAAGGTGGGCGAGGAGGACGGGGGAAGGGAGACGTCGCGCAGCACGCAGGAGGGAAAGCAGGAAATAACAAGTGCAAGCGAGAAGCGAAACTAGCGGGCGCTCTCGGGAGAAGAGGGAGAGAAGAGGGAAGGCTGCGGCATCCCCCATGGCTGAAGCTTCACTCCCCACACCGCCGCCCTCCACCACGCCTACCCCCGCCCGCCCGCCCCCCTCTCATTCCCCCCACCCCTCACCCACCCTATGTCCGCCCGCGTCGCATCCCTGACCCTCGTCTGGCCCGACACCAAGGCCCGACGAGTTCGAATCCGCCGCTCTCTGCGAAAGGGGGCGGTGGCCGCCCGTCGCGGCCTGGGCATAAGACCGTGGCCCCCTCTTGACCCAAGCCCGCAGCCCGTGGCAACCTTCCGAAATCGTCGAGGGGTTCAGCTCGCACATGGGGCCGCCGTTCCAGTGGGGGTCTTGGTGCTGGTGTCGGCTTTTTGATGTTGCAGGGAACAAAAAGCCGGCACCAGCACCAAGACGCCACTGGAAAAGTTCGGAGCGCTTTCCCTGTGGGGGCTGAGCGACCCAACGAAGCCAAGAAAGCTTGAGATGGCTCGCATTGCTCTCCGACTTTGCAAGCCACGGTGCTTCCATGATAGGGAAACGTCCCATGCAGCTCATGGCGCCCCTGAGGCCCACGGGGCTCCCATGGCCCGCGGGGTTTCCAAGGCTCAGAAACCAGATGTGGCCCTGACGAGTCAGGGAGCCAATGGTGCCCGCGCGGCATGCTGGGCCAGCGCGGCGCGTTGGGCTTATGCGCGCTGCGGCGCACGTTCGGCCCATGAAGCCCTTTGTGGAACTTGTGGGGTTCATGGGGCTGGCTGGGTTCGCACGGCCCGCGGGACTCGCGCGGCCCATGGAAATCCTAACGCTCACTTGGGGAACTGGAGACGGCCCGTTATGTTCCCACGCGCTCAGAGCTGGCATTCATCAACTCTGGACACGCGAACCCGAAGACACGGGCGACGGCATTCAACAGAGGCTGCAATGTTTTCTTTTCTAGTGGCTTCTTGGTGTTGGTGTCGGGTTCCTGTGCGCCGAAAACTGCGCCACTGGGACCTTTTTGTTCAACTCCCGCGCGGCGCACGCTGCGCGCACCGCCCGCGACTGCGCTGCAGGGCAGCCCCTCTTGGGCCGCCGCTCGGGCGCCCAAAGGCGCGCCCGCCCACGCCCTCGCCAACATGGCACGGAAGGCCTGCAGGACCACGCGAGGGCGCCGATCAAGAGGAAGCGAAGCGCCTCTGCGGTCGACCCGACTTCGGGCCCAGGCCAGCACGTATCAGCTCGACCTTCCGTATCCTGGCCCCGAGCGCTTCGCCGCCTACGGTCTTGCGCTCGCCGCCGAGCATCCTGTGCTTGCCCTTGACCTCCCGCGCGTAGCAGTGGCGCCGCTTGCATGCTCTGTAGCCGATGGCAGAAGTCAGGTCGTGCACGGCGGCTCCCTCCGAAGGGCCCGAGGCAGGGAGGGACAGAAACACCTGCGTGGAATCCCCTGGGTCGCGCGACCCCTCCTCGGGATCACTGTCTGAGCCCTCGGTCTTCAGCCCGCTGGCCGCTGCCGAGGCCGCGGCGACCGCTCCCGCAGCAGGCGCAGCTGAGGCAGGCCGCCTCCGCTTGGCCCCGCTGGCGTCTGGGGCGAACGCCTTCTCGTTGCAGGCGCGGCCGTAGAGCTCGATGCCGTTGGCGCCCCAGGCCGAGCGCAAACACTCGACGCAATGCACGCCGCCGTTCGCGATCTTGACCGTCGCGTGGTGCGTGAGCGATAGGGGCGGGCCCTTCTTGCACTCCGTGTAGCTGCCGTCGAAGTCCAGGCGAAGCTGGGCTGCCTCCCCTCCCGCTGCGCCGAGCTAGTGGGCGACCCCCTCGAGCGTGCGGGCCCTCGTCACCCTGGCCGTCCTGGCGCTGGTCGGGGAGCGGAACGCGTTCGTTTCCACGTTGCCCCTCCTGTCCCGCCATGTGATCCCCCCTCCAAGACGTCCTTCATCGTGGCGTGGCCCTTGATCTTCTTGACGGTGAGATCCCGCTCGCCGATCCTGCCGAAGTCGTCGAGAGCCGCCCGCGCCCTGCGCCGCGCCTCCCGCCGTGCAGAAGCGGCGGTGGCGGCAGCTTCCCGACCTCGCTCGAGCAGCCCTTCGCGACGTAAGGCGCGTCGAACGCGGTCTTGATCGGCGGCGGGGAGCTCTTGGGCAGCATGGGGGGCCCCGGCAGCACGGGCCCGCCCATCGACTGCAAGGGCCATGGAAGTGGGGCCCCCAGCGCCTTGACCGCAGAGCCCGGGCCAGAGTCCCCCCCCTCGCCCCCTGGCGTTAGCTGAGCCACCGCGCATGCCGAAATGGCGAGCGAGTGCCCCGCCTCAAACAGGGCGCCGTCAGCGAACAGCTCGGCGCTGGCGAACGGCACCCCGCCGTCGTCGTCCTTGACCCACTGGATGTGCACCAGCAGGTCGTCGCCCGGAGGTCTCTCTAGGAATGGAAAGGCTCAGGATGAAGGAGTCTCTCAACCAGTCCTGATCGTGATGCTGCCGTGGACTGCCGAGAGCTTCGCAATCGCCGCGGGGAGTCGATGGCTCGGCCAGCTCTCCCGGCACTCGATGCGCCTGTGCCAGAGCGTACCAGGAATGGTAGGGTGCAGCTGGCAGCACGGCGCGGCCGCCAACCTAGGGGACGCGTGGCACCTCCTGTTTTTGACCCGCTGCCCCTGCACCACCACCGACCACAAGCAGCTCCGCTCGGCGCGGGGGAGGCCCCATCCACTTGCGAGCCTCGAACGCGCTGCCCTTGCCACTGTTGATCCAGCGCTTCGCATGCGGATAGAAGGCCCCCTGGGCCAGGTCTCTGTGCGCGTTGTTGGCAAGCTGCTGCAGCTGCCAAGCTTTGACGCCCATGATGAGGACCTTCTTGAAGTACCAGGGCGAGAGGTCTAGCAGGTTGAGGTTCTCGCCGTCGGGCCTGAGCAGCTCACGCAGACCTGCCACCTTGTCGCCGATACGTTTCAGCGAGAGTACCGCAGCACCAAGCGGGCCCTTGATCTTCTCCAATTTCGTGGAGGCGTTGACCGCCCAGTCGAACGTAGCCTCCAGCTGCCCCGCAACGACCCAGCTCTCCCACGGCGCCCTGGCGAGGCTGAAGCATAGTCCCAACGTGGCCGCAAAGATAGGGTCGATCGTGCCCGAGCCTCCTACTATAAGGCAGGCTGTGAGCGACTTGCCCTGCGGCCTCGGCTCCACGGCGCGCCTGACCACGGCGCGCGAGTGCCTGAGCTCCGCGTCGTCGAGCCCCGCGCAGCTCATTCCGTAGCAGAGGCTAGCCGCTAGCCCCGTCGAGGCAATCTTCGCAGCGGCCGCTCGACCTCGCGTAAGCCCGAGGAGCCTCTAAACGCGCGGAAGCCTGAGCTTGTTCTGCGCGATCCTCATCGAACGTATGACTTTCGTCCTGTTGCCGCCCTCGGCGGGCGGGCAGGGAAGTGAGGAGACAGGTCCCAGCCACGCAGCACCTCGGCCGATGCCTCTCCGATGATATGCACCGCGAAAAAGTCGATGATGCGACCAGACGGCCTGGTGGCCCCCTCGCACGGCGAGACCGCCTTCC